CCCATGCAGGGGAATTGCAGAGCCTCTCCCTCACCAGTGAGGTGTTAAGTGATGCTCTGGTTCAACCCTTCTGTCCATCATCATGGAAATAAGTTCTCCTTCTCTCAGGACCCCTCAGGATTTGGAGGAGCCAGGGTTCATCCAGGCAGCAGCTCCCAGACCACACGGGCTCTGCTSCATGGGATCATCCTGCAGCACCCCMCACACACCCCCTGCCCCACAGCAGCTCTTACCACGCCCGAGCCTCGCTTCATCCAGACGATGGTGAGAGAGGGGTTCCCRGTCCAGGCACAGTTGAACACGGCGTCCGAGCCCAGGTCCACCAGCAGGGACTGCGGTTCTGTCGCCATCCTGGGCCCAACTGTGCACGGGAAACTGGAGTTACTGCCAGTGCTGGGCTCTGCCAGCCACAAACCCCCGAGCAAAGCAGGTCAGAGGGAGCAGTGYTAGCCCTGGATGGGCCCCAAATAAAGAAAAGCTTAAGGCAGGGCCTGCTGTAACTCCAGAGTGACCAAAGGGACCACTCAGTTGTAAGGAAATCATGGGTCTGACCATGGTAGCATTTACAAAGTGTGAGCAGGTCCTGGCCACCCTGGGCAAGCCACACCGAGCTGTGTCCCCTCTGTCCCCTCCATCCCCTCCCTGCTGATTCCCAGCAGCTCAGCTGAGCCCGGAGGCTCCAGCCTTCAGGTTACTTACAGTAGACATCCACAGTCCTGCTGATGTTGGTGCTGCCCAGGGCGTTGGTGACCTCGCAGGAGACGGGCTCGAAGAAGAACGTGTGRTCCACGATGGTTTCGTAGAAGTCGCCGGAGGCTTCCTTTATGACCTGGCCTTTTTTTGCCCACCTGTGGAAGGAAGCAGAGCATGGCTGTGGTGCTGCTTTGTGTCTCTGGCCATGTCCATGTGTCCCTGTCATGTCCCTGCCCTGGTCATGTCCCTGCCCTCGGCTTCAGGAGGGACATGAACTTGGTCGCAGCATCGTTCCCTTTCCCTGGGGATGGAGGGATTACAGGCACAGGTTTTGGAGACGAGCCATCAAATCAATGTGATGGCTGAAATCCTGCTGAAACCTTCCCAAAAAAAACCCAAATTCTGTCTCACTGTTTCACTGGGAAAGCACCTCATCCCTTAGGATTGCAAAGGACCTCAGTGATGGGAGGAATGGGACATGTAGAGTCTCTGCCCCTTCCCGAATGCTTGCCAGCAACTCTGCTGGTCCCTCCACATCAAAACCACTCAAAACATTTTCTGCTGCCCCCAACCTTTGCCCTTTTCTTCCTTTTTAATTTCTTTTTTTCCCCAGTCAAAGAGAACTTTATCCCTTTAAGGCAGCTGAAATAACATTCCCCGAAAAGCCAAGCTGGCATTTGCAACACTGCAACTTGCAAATTGTCTTGGAGAACAAGCTGTCAACTCAGCACTTGAATTAAGCCCTGTTTGCCAAACAATGAGCAAATGTGACCTAATGGGGCACCATCTGGCAACCTGCCACTCGGGAGCGGGTGGGAAAGGCGGGAGATGCTGTCAGGCGGTGAGAAACTCCAGCCACTCTTTGGGGAAGGGAAAAAAAAGCCTGGGAAAAAACATGTAATAATCCTCCCCGAACAACTGGCAGGTAAATTGGAGGGAAGAGGGTTTCCCTGAGGAGTCTCTGCCGTGTTGTTTCGGGGCTGCTTTTCTGGTTTTGCTGGATGGGTTGGGAAGGATGCAGGCACTGGGAGCTGGAGAGGGGAAGGGGTTTGTGGAGGCTGCTCCCCAYATGGGGTTGGTGGGGTGGTTTTGGGAAATTCGTCCCTTTCAAGGCAAGCAGCATCTGCTGCTGGTCCTCCCAGGGCTCTCCTGCTTCCCTCTGCTTGCTCCTGTCACTCTGCCATGGTTCCCCAYTGCTTCAGTGCTGCCCCAAAGGCAGCCAAGGACAAGTGGAGCTGCAGGGAGCTCCTGCTGAAGATCCATAAGCACTGACGCGCCTCGGTGGGGCCGGGGAGAGAGCGGAATGCGGGTCCATGGCAGGCTGGAGAGCACCCCGAGTACTGCCAGAGCCAATTCCCCGAGCAGCTGCTCCTGTGAGCCTCAGCAGGGAGCTGCCAGCCTCCCCGGGATGGCACAGCGCTCCGAGAGGTGTCCCCGGGCGGATGGAAGTGATTTGTACGCACTGACCTGCCCTCGCTTTCCATTTATCTTTGCACCTCTAACAGATGCTGACTGGCCACTTCAGCTTCCCTCCCCAGCCTCCCCCGCTAATAATTAATCACGAGACGCCGGTTTTATTTCCAGGGCTGCGCTTTTTGAGTGTTAATGAGGGAGGTTCCCTGCAGAAAAACCTGTGCGATTGGAGCCTGGCAGGCRCTGCCCCCGGGTCCGAGCGGTCAGTGACGCTTTGGGGACGCCGTTCTGCTCCAGGGGAATCGCAGCCCAAGCCAAGCGGCGACTCGGGGTCAGCTGCACGCCTGATCTCAGCATCCCCCTCCCCTGCCTCCCCTCCCCACGGATCGGCCGTGCCCTGCTGCC